TGACAATGTTACTAATACAATGCTGAATGGTTTTTGAGTAAAGCTTTTGAAGCCGGTTGAGGTTAACATTATAGCCGAGGGAGTTGTAAACTAAGGTACCATAGGTACCATTAAACAAATACCTGTCTGTACCCACGTATTCTTGTGTTAGTTTTATGCTGAAGGACTCGAATCGGTCTTGGCCTAATATTGATATATGCATATCTATACTTTAGCAATAGTATAGACTTCGCCGTATATGAATTGAATTTTGGCAAGTTTATTGTTGAGTTCTGTGTTCCGAGAAAAGTTACCTTCACGCTTGCACATTCACTGTCCTCAGGTGCCTGCATCAACGGTCATTCAACTCTTCGGACACATTGACATTACTATCTATTTTATGTTACATACATATAATGTTAATACATCATCCAAATCAAATATTGCTTAAGTTTGAACTTCATAATTCATAATTCATTTATTCATTTGTACAAATGCGGTAAAAACATAAAGGTGTACTATCAGATAAGTTCTGCACATTTACCATTTCTGGCATACAAATTTTTCACTTACAATCTAAAATTTTGAAATCATAAATAACGAAATATATCATGCATGCCTATCAATTGGAACAGTTTAATAATAACAAACGCTAATAAATTCAATGAACAATGTCAATATTATCAATTAAATCAAAATTATTCCATTATGTCAAATAATATCAATAAATAATACAATACTTCAAAATAACATAAAATTAAATTCGGTAAAATAAAACAATAAAATTAATATTACAATAATAAGCCATTAAAAAAAAATATTATAGGTATAAAAAAAAAGTATTACAATTTATTTAAGTAGTCCGATACAGAATAATAACATTTACTGACTAACCATTCAAACAATTTGGTTTTAAATCTATTTGAGGGCAAACTTACAATTTCACTGGGTAGACTATTGAATATTTTTACCGACATAGCGTAACTATTTCTACCATACACCTCCTTTCTTAGCTGTGTATTACCAGATTGTCAGGAAATCGGGTTCGAAATTGGCAGACATCCTTCTTCCTTCTATATAATTCAGGATGTTGTTTAACAAAGTTACATATTTCGTATATATACATGCTAGGAAGTGTGAGCAGATTTAGCTCTTTAAATAAGGGTTTGCAGGAAGTTACGGGAGACACGTCTTTTATTGCACGAATACATTGTTTCTGCGCAACAAATGCCCTTTGAATTTTTACTGAGTTTAGCACAATGCCGTATCTCAAATTAGACGCTACATAACCGTGATAAGCCTTCAATGCCATTTGCAAACTAGTCACTTTTGCCAGTTTCCATAGCGCGTATCTAAAACGATTCAGCTTCCCACAAACATGATTAATATGGGATTTCCAAGAGCAACTGTTATCCAATATCAAACCCAAGAATGTAGCCTCATCCGATTCCATCAATTCGATATTATTGTATTGTACAGTAAGAGATTTTTTAACAGCATTTTTGTTCAAAAACTGTATATATTTAGTTTTCTCTAGGTTGACTTTGAGGTTATTAGCTTTAAGCCATTTAATTATATTATTAACACATACATTTATTTCGCTATTGTAATCTGATCCAACATTATCAGGTAACAAGAATTGACAAATCATCGGCAAATAGAAAACATTTGTGTTTACAGCTCAACGAAAGGTCATTAATATACAAAATAAACAATAGTGGAGCCAAAATGCTACCTTGAGGAACACCGACTAATTTTTGTTTCAGTAGTTCAGATTTGTAAATTTTTTTTTTCCATATTACCATCAAGTTCATGAATTTCGACATGTTGAGTGCGATTGCTTAAATAACTTGAGAGCCATTTCAGAGTTATACCACGTAAGCCATATTTATCACATTTCGTTAATAAAAGTTTATGATTCACAAAATCGAATGCTCTAGTCATATCAAAAAATATTGCTGTAGTACTGACTTTGTGATTTAGATTATCTACTATGTTATTAATCATATCAAAAGCAGCCAATGTAGTAGATTTTCCTTTCCGAAATCCATTTTGTTCAGCACATAGTATGTTATGTTTAGTAACAAAATTCATTATTCTTACATGCATGACTTTTTCAAGTATTTTCGCTAAAATAGGTATCAAAGCTATTGGTCTGTAATTTGCTGGATTTTTTTTATCTCCTTTTTTAAACAAAGGTTTAATTACAGTTTGTTTTAATTTGTCAGGGAAGATACCCTGAGAAAGAGACAAGTTTGTCATATATGTCAATACTGGCGCTAGAATTAAAGAAGTATATTTAATTACCCTTGTTGAGATGTTATCGTAACCAGTAGATAATGTATTTCTAAGAGATCTGATCACCTTCAAAATTTCCTCCTCGTCGGTTGGGAACAAGTTATAGTGTTTTATATTATGTTTATAAGTATTACATTCTATATCTATATCAGTCAAATTTATAAAATAATTATTAAATATATTAGCAATGTCAGATGGATTTTCAATTTCAATGTCATTATGTATAAGTTTATATTTGTCAAAATTAGCCTTTGTTTGGTTAGTATACTTTTTAATAACATTCCATGCTGCTGAGCAAACGTTTTGTTAATGTAAATGTCATTTGAGCGTCTTTGAGCGGAAATCACACATTTCTTAAACAGCTTATTATACTTCCAATACTAAGTCTTATCTAGATAGACTTTAGTTTTGTAATATTGGAATCTAAGCTTCCGTTTAGTTTTGGCTGATATTTTTATGCCCTTCGAAATCCAGGTCGATTTTTTAGGTTTATTATGAATTTTAATTCTCTTCAGTGGAAAGCTAAGATCGTAATATAAAGTGAGCGTATCATGGAAACTGTCAAAAGCCTTATTAGTATCCTGCTCAGCGTAAATTTCAGACCAAGAAAGGCTACCTATACAACTTAAGAACTTATTCATATTTTCATAACTAAGGTCCCTCTTATATATATAAAAAGGTTTTTGTTTTATTTCCTTATAACTTGTGGGGACAGAAAGTAGTTGGCCAGTTTCGTGGTCTGATAAACCAAGTGGTAAAATTTCTCCAATAGCATTTGGTATATTGCTTATTATTTGATCAATACACGCTGAACGTCTAGTTGGGTTTATTATATGAATTTTATATTTATAATTTTGTGTTATCCTATTATATTCGGCTAATGCAGGAGATTCTTTTAGAAGATCTATATTAAAATCTCCAGCTATGACTATATTCTTTTTTATTTTAGTTTGGAGCTTGTATAACAAAAGTTCTAGTTTATTCAAAAATATAAATGGATTACTATTAGGTATTCTGTAGATACAAATAATGAGACAATTATGTTTTAGAATTTCAACACCACAGCATTCAAATGAAAATTCTACGCTCATTTCTTTTAAAAAGTTTATGTTTTTGAATTCGATATTATTTCTGCAAAGTATACATACTCCACCTCGTCTTTGCTTAGACCTTGAATAGTAGTCCGCTAACATAAATCCATTTAACTGTAATTCAGATTCATTTCCAGATTTAAGAAACGTTTCAGATAAACATAAGATATCAATCTTTTCTCTGAGAGAATTTAAGGTTATTTGTAAGTCATCCTGTTTGCTTAATACTCCAGCTATATTTTGGTGTATTATTTACAAATAATTCACTTGCTTTTTATCGAAATCACATATCACATATATTATCGAAATCACATATATTATCTCGCAATTAACGTGACATCAAAGGTCATATCGTGTGTCTGTCTGAACTTTGGTTTTATATTATTAGATATTATTTTTGCATTAATGTTTGGTTACCACAATTACATTGGACGCTTCGTCGCGGCGCCTTGAACACGGCTCGATAGCGATAATAAATACTTAAACCGTTATGAACGTTAGTAATCGTTGATGACATGTTGATGAAAAGCGAGATGAGAGCTTAAGGTTGTAATTGAATGTCTTTACTCATTCAGAATGATAGGTAGTTAATATAGTAGAAAATATATTTTAACTAAGAACACTGACCACTTGGTCAACAAACGTGTGCATTGGGTCAGCAGTCGTCATTTTGTTTTACTAGCATTTAGCATCCATGAGGGAGTACTTAATAAAATAACTATAATTCCTGAAGGGTGAGCACGAACAACTAGCGAGAGAGTATTCGTCATCGTTTGATAATGATCCTGTGTGCCTAGCAATGCACACACGCAGCGTTACATTAAAATCTACACAACGCGTCGTGTTATTTCGATGTCAGTGACCGCGCTCTGGTGCCGGCGTTATCAAAATTTTAATCACTTTAATCAAAAAAGGAGGAGGTTCTTTATGTTTATTTTACGATCGTTTGATTATTCTACTCAGTTCATTCATACTCAGATGTTGTAAAGACAAAATATCTCATGTAATAAAACTGGATGATGGTTGTTCCCCAATGGCGCTTGCTGATAACGTCAAAATTATTGGAGGCGGCGCGAATGCCATGTGTGTGACCGTGAAACCAGTTTTTAGTTATAACTTGGTGCACTTATCATTATAATTTGGTAGAAAAAAATCTTCGAGGCAGTGCAACACTTTCAAAGGAGAAAACATGTCTACGTATTTATTTCCTCTTTATGAAATGATTATTACTAACGCAAGTATTTGTATGTATGTCCGGGATAAACTCAAAAAGTACTGCATGGATTTACTTCAAAGGCACGAATATTATTAAGAAGTCGGGTCAGCATATAGGCTACATATTATCACGCTATCACCTACGGGGAACGAGCAGTGAGCCTTTATTTCTTCAACGCATCTAACTCCACGCCGACGAAGTCGCGGGCGGCCGCTAGTTTAAAATATAATCCTTAATATGACGAGATAACGAGATAAGTTGCAACTCATGAGAGATAGGACGTTTTGCCAGACAGGCAGGCCTGTTTATGGCCGAGTACGTCAGTGATTAACCAGCCTCGGGCCGCGGTCGACAACTACGCCGTTATCGGCTATTAAAAGTAAAAGTTTTCCTCGACCGCGACCGACCGTTCCTTCATGATGAGTCCGATATCAATAATTTTCAATATATTAATCTTTTGCCACAATGTATTCGCTCTTAACATTCTCGGTATAGTTTCGGTGCCCCTTAAAAGTCACTACATGGCTATGCAAAAACTTTTTCCAGAACTGGCGGCTCGGGGCCATTCCGTTACCGTTATTAACAACTTTCCTACCCCTCAAAATGTAAAAAACCTTAGGTTCATTAATTTGAACCGTGATTTGAACGTGACTTTTACTACTTTAGAAATGTTCGAAAATTTGAATCCGGCATTTTTGCATTGGAAAAACTTTCATCGTTTTCTGACGTACACGTCGAATTTAGTGCAGAGTGACTGTGAATGTTTATTTACAAATGAAGACGTCAAGAGACATCTTGCCGAACGAAATAAATACGATGTTGTGTTTGTGGAGATGTTCACGAGTGATTGTGCTCTGGTGTATGCTGCGACTAATTTTGACGCGCCTATTATTGGAATAACTTCTCATGTTCTGCTGCCGACCACGTACTCGCCGCTGGGGATACCCTTCGACATAGCATCAGATTCATACTTATTTACCAAAGGAGGGCCGAATCCATCTATATTGACGAAAGTTGAAGTAGTTGTAATGAAATTATGTTACTATATCCAGGAGAGATTCTATTTTCATCCAATACTACAGCAGCACGTACAAAACACTTCTATAGACCTTGAGCGCGTGGCAAAAGACAGGATGAAAATGGTATTCGCTTATCAACATTATTCTATGACAGGAGCGCGTCTGCTGGCGCCACAGCTATTGGAGATAAGTGGACTTCACATATCAAAACCAAAGCCAGTGCCACAGGTAATTATTGAAAGGGAATGACAAGACTGTGACAGTCACAGAGTTTCGTGATCCAATCAATGCTAATTTTGATCATTTTTCCTTCCTGATTGTGTTACTATCCACTTTTAATTTTAATTGAGCCAAGTTTTCGTTTTTTGTTACTATCAGGCAACGTATATTTCAATCACGCTTTTTTCTAATGATTGAATGTATGTTTTCTTATATTGGCTTATGTGACCGCCCAGGTTAGTATAGGTACTATGCAGGTATCAAACAGTTTTTTGCTTGATGGCAATATTTGTTTCTTTATATTTATAATCTCCTTTAAGCTATTTGTTAGTAATATTGTTTCCAAACATTCAATAGATGAATTCATTGACGTAGTCAATTCAGTCATTACCGATCCAAATAACTTCCTGCTTTCCATTCCTCATAGCTTTAGTTTTTTGTGTTCTCATGATTAATCTATTCGATCTAGGTCGCTCAACATCCCTTGACCTTTTGTCGGTGTGAGGAGTGATTTCCTTCTAAGTATTGCAGTAAAGCTAAGGTTAAGGGGGTAAAGTATTTACCTTGAACCAAGAGGGGCATATCCCGAGCTGGCAGGCTGCACGGGGCGGCAATACAAAGGCGTTTGTTTTGTTGCTAAATATTTACATCGTTATTTGTACCATATTTCGATTTGATTTTGTTGCAAATCGTCAATGGCCTGGCGATGAATTTTGACTATTTTAATTGATCGTTTAATCGTTCGTTTCGGCACCTTAGAAGAAAAAAACGGACCCATTGGTGGATCGCCTTAAGTGTTCGGTGTTCTTTTTTAGCCTTAAGTTAAGGAAACCATTTGTTAAGGAAAACCATACTATAAGAAATGTATTAGCTGCTTTATATTGGAAAAACGCTGTTGGTTTTCTAAGAAAATATATAAATAAGAACCACTTTGGTATAAAGGGTCTAGACATAGACATGGTCCTGTCAAGACCCTTAATCTCGGGAACGTGTGAAGGTATCGAGTTGAAAATTAGACCATATTCTCAGATCTATGATTCCTTGAAGTTGTGAAAAACATAACAGTTTCTAGTTAACACAAAAAAAGATACGCCCGAATTTGGCGTACTACAAAGTGCGAGACTTCCAGAGAGCGAGTACGAATCGTACTTGTCCCGGTTTTTTTTTAATTTTAATGTACTATTAGCCAATTTGATTCCTGACCCTCCTTAAACTTAATTTCTTACAACCATTGCAACACAATTAGATAGCCTTTCACTTAAATGTGCATTTCTATTGAAAAAAATGTTATTCACAGAACAATCATATTTGACGTGACATATCTTGCTGCTTTCTGTGACATATTGTTGAAGTTACATTATTTGGAGTATTTCCCATACATTAATGAAAATTTTTTTACTAATTTACTAAAGTGTTTTTTATAATGTCAAGAAATCAAAGAGTTGGATTAATTTAAAAGATTTCGAAATTCAAACTTCTATTCCAAATTAATCTATAAGATGATCTACTGCATTGATAACAAAGTTCAAATTTCGAAGAACTTTGATCTATCTGATTGATGTTATACAGTTTCCTTGTTTTTAGAAGGTCCTAAGTGCAATTTCACATTTTTCAAAGAAAAAACTTATCTGTTTTGACCTCTTTCTATGTTCTGTGGTTTTGCCATTTTTAAGTGAATTATCGAGCAAGTGGGTCAGGAAGCAGTTTGTCGATAATACATGTTTTCATGAATAGCCATTACATATAACTATGTTGATCAATTATCGCTATCCTAGTTCAATAATTATTAGATAAAATTTTTGCATTTTATCTTGTGAATCAATTAATCACTTTTTAGATTTACGAAACAATAATTATTTGGTTATCGCGACTTTTGGTAATGTTTATATCTTACTATTGATATAGTACAGTGTTACCCATATTTATTATAAGCAGATAGTTAATAATATTTCGCTCATTTTTTTTTACTTCAATATTTTTCCAGGATGTAGAAGATTTTCTTTCGAATGCTGACCACGGCGCCATCTACGTGAGCTTTGGCACAAATCTGAACAGCAGTCTTATGTCCCCGCGCATGCTGAAGAATTTCCTGGCAGCCTTTAAGAAAATCCCCCAGAAAGTTCTGTTCAAATGGGAAAATGATACGTTCCCGGAAGGGAACGATAACGTTCTCACTAGAAAATGGTTCCCGCAACTGGATGTTCTGTGTAAGTTGAAGTCATGATTTCTTGATCTAAATTTAGAATAAGGAAAAGAAGAAGATTTCTTGTGTAAGTACTTGTGTTATGTTTATATTGGTTTTCTATATCAATAAAACAGGCATAAATAATCATTATTATCCATAGTTCATATAAATCTATGTTGTTACCAACTTAGACGTTATGTTCCCACTAGTTTTAAAACAACTAATGAGATTTTTTCTTCTTACCAGCTTTAGTTTTCCTACAAAAGTTTTCCTACTTATAGGACTTTTGTGAGCAAAACATTAGCCGCGTTTTGTTCCATTGCGCAATACGTTATTATCAATGTTTGATGCATTTAAATTTGTCTTGAATGTTTACCTCGTTTATCAAGTAGCGTACAAGGTGTAGGTATTTATTTAATTTTAATTTATTCCGTTTCAGGTCATCCAAAAGTTATGGGATTCGTGTCCCACAGTGGAATGTTGAGCTCCACAGAAGCGGTTTACTGCGGCAAGCCAATGGTTACTATGCCGTTCTTCGGAGACCAGTTCGATAACTCAGGTTCGCTCGAAGCCATCGGTTTCGCTAAAACTCTGTACTTGGCCAACGTCACACCTGAGAACTTGGCTAATGCTATCACTGAGATAACATCACCACAGTAAGTATTAAAAGATCAATTTAATGGTTTAAATACAATCGGCTCTTAACAAAGACCCAAGTTCGAATTTGACACCTCCGTTATCATATCGCATCGTCGCCGGACGAACAAACTGGAATCCATACAAATTTGACGAGGACTATACGATTACGGAGCTGTCAAAATTCGTGCTCGGGCGTCAGTTTTCTGTTGTTTGCCTCAGTGTTTTCAAAGAAATCGGTTGATACCTATACAGGATGTTACAAAAATACAAATAAAGCTTGAAGGGCGTTGAAGTAGTCTTCTCTAATTTTCTTAAAATATTTGCATGAAGTTTTAACTTTTTATAAAAACAGTAATTTTTAATGATTAATAAAAATATCGATCATTTTAAGACACGCCACTAGTTCGAGGATCACTAAAAATAACTGTTTTTTATAAAAAGTTAAAACTTCATGCAAATATTTTAAGAAATTTAGAGAAGACTCCTTATATCCATGTAGGTACTAATATAATACATGGGTAACATATTTGTTTCTTAGGTTTTTACGCACACCACCACTCATTAAATAAAACAACTTTCAATGGTATAGATGCACTGATTTATTAATTTATTGACGTTTCGCATCTTGTAATGCTCGAGTCTGCAGTGTGTGAACATGCATTAGGGGGGCCAAACCATAACATTGGTTTTGATAAACCACAGATCCTTGTAACTGAACAACGATACATTACATTACAGATATTAAGAAATATCCAAATTTCAATAGGGAAGATGGTTGGTATATACCACCAGCTTGGGAACTCATTAGGGTGAGGCCAAACGAGCGTAATTTTGTGAGTGGTGAGTCGCAGAATTTCGGTCGCAGAAATTCTGCTGCATTCGGTTTCATAGAAAAAGGCAGTTGGTGCCACACGACAACGCAAAATGAGTTGTCTGCCGACTAAGGGTGATGCCAAACGAGCGTAATTTTGTGAGTTGTGAGTCGCTTGTTTTCGGTCACTTACTTTACGTTCAACTGAATTTCTGTTGAGCTGCCATACGAACGTAATTTATTCAGTTACTATTGAGCGTTAGTACGGGGTGTTCGTGTCGTCGAGTGCAATGGATCCATTAAAAATATTGTGTATTTACGAAGCATATTCAGAAGATGAGGCCAGAAAAAGAAACTGGGTAAACCCACTAAATAGTCAGAGGCTGATATGTGGACAGTTCCATACTTTATATGAACGTTTATGTGCAAATCCAGATATGTTTAAAAAGTACTATCATATGCCATTACGTGTTTTTCAAGAATTATTACACCACGCAACTTGTAACAAACTGTTGCTTCCCCACTCCCCTTCCTTGCCCTACCCTCACCCCGACCGAAATTCGGACGAGCTTATGCGCATTGAGTCGGCAGACAACTCATTTTGCGTTGTCGTGTGGCACCAACTGCCTTTTTGTATGAAACCGAATGCAGCAGAATTTCTGCGACCGAAATTCTGCGACTCACCACTCACAAAATTACGCTCGTTTGGCCTCACCCTAAATGCGCATAAGCTCGTCCGAATTTCGGTCGGGGTGAGGGTAGGGCAAGGAAGGGGAGTGGGGAAGCAACAGTTTGTTACAAGTTGCGTGGTGTAATAATTCTTGAAAAACACGTAATGGCATATGATAGTACTTTTCAAACATATCTGGATTTGTACATAAACGTTCATATAAAGTATGGAACTGTCCACATATCAGCCTCTGACTATTCAGTGGGTTTACCCAGTTTCTTTTTCTGGCCTCATCTTCTGAATATGCTTCGTAAATACACAATATTTTTAATTGATCCATTGCACTCGACGACGCGAACACCCCGTACTAACGCTCAGAATAAATTACGTTCGTATGGCAGCTCAACAGAAATTCAGTTGAACGTAAAATAAGCGACTCACAACTCACAAAATTACGCTCGTTTGGCTTCACCCTTATACAACAGATAAAATCTCAACCCCGAGCACACCCTGCTACCACCCTGCATAAGGAGATAGAAAGCCTCTCAGAGTTTATTGCGCCGTTTCTTCTCAGAAAGTTCTCCCAATTTTGGAACTGGTTACGGTTGACGGTAGTTAAGGTCATATAAATAAACTCAAAATTATAAATAAAGAATTAAATACAGTACGTTATTAATTAAATAAGCTAATACATACATACATAGAAAATAAAGTTTAAAAATCTTCCAATGAAATATCCGAACGCTCAATAATAGAAGACTATTATCGATGAGAGACTAAGACTATATTCGAAGTTAGCTCGACAAATTAAATAAAATCATTATTCAGACGACGCATCCTTTAAAGGAGTCAATAAATAAATGAATCAGTGCATCTATACCGTTGAAACTTGATTTATTTCCATAGGTATCAATTAATGTAAGTTTCCTTGTAGTGAAGTGGGTAGCGTTTCAAATTGTGTTTCCTTGTAAAATTTACTATGCAGAGCTTAGTTCTACCTACAGTTTATCATCCTACTAATATTATAAATGTGAATTTATGTATGTTTGTTACTCAATCACGCAAAAACTACTGAACGAGGTTGGATGAAATTCGGTATAAAATTTAGGTATGTATACTTTTTATCCCGGAAAAATATTTGCTTTTTATAGGATTTTCAAAAAGGTTAGTCAACGCGGACGAAGGCGCGGGCGGTCGCTTGTTTTAATTAATATTCATTTTATGATTGTTGAAATGGGAGTCAATGAAATACAGACACAACAGGAAGTTGCCAAAACATTAATAGAACAATACTTAGATTGAAACTGAATATTTTTTTACAGAATGCAGCGGAACGCACAAAAAGTATCTCAGCTTTGGCACGACCGACCTTTACCGGTAATGGATAGTGCCATCTATTGGACTGAGTATGTAGCGCGCTACCGTACCGCGCCTCCTTCACTGCCTTCCAAACACAGCACGTGGTTCGAGTCGTTATTACTAGATGTCATTAGTGTATTTGTTTTGATTGCCTTTGTGTTAGTATGGTTAAGTCTGGTAATTTGTAAATTAATTAGAAAGTTGTGTAGATTACTACTAAGTAAATTCATTTGTAGGACTAAAGAAAAGACTCAGTGATTAAACGTTAAGTTTACTTAAGTTTTATAAATTATATGAATCTGTTGTATTAATAATTTATTCTTATTTGAATTCCTCGATTCTACACATTAGCTTAAATTAAGCAACAAACAGGAAAACATAACCATATCATAACTTGTCACCGCGAGTCATCATCTCTGAAATCCCGAGTTCGATCTCCGACAAATCCAATGAAGAAAAACTAACATCTATTGTCTCAGGTTTGGGTGTTACTTAGTTTTTTGATTTAACGGTTATTTTCCAGCCTGAATCTGAAATGATTACTTTTCACACCAGTAATACAGTATGATACTGATATCCTTTATTCTGGTATACTTAGTCAGGTAATAATAATTATTACGGAGAGATAATTTAATAATAATATAATGGTTTATAATGATGATATAGTATAGCAACATTTGGGTAGGTACAACCACAAAACATAAAATAAGGTCCTCTCATTCTTGTAGCTGTGGAATAATTAAATTTCTAAGTTATCGCAAAAAATATTTTACGCTACGTTTCAAAGTATGCAAACCCCGATGGGCGAGTGAGACCCGCATTTAGCTGGTTTTTACTTTATAAATAAAAATACTCTCCTACATTCATTTTGTAATGTTAGCCCACAGAATAGAACAGTTCCAAACCTCGCACATATTTTGATTTCCTAACCATAAAAAAGCCGTAATGCAGTACATTTACCCAATACAATTATTTTAAAACTCCATTTTGTGACGAGATAAGATTTAATAATTCATATTGTGATTCGTCAGGCAGGCCAACAGAAGGCCTGTTGCATTATTCGTCAAAGGATGACCAACATCGGGCTAGGGTTGACTTGCCGACGAGCCTTGGTCCTTTAAAGTTTTACCCGATCAAATGGTCGCGTAAAACTTGGACTCATTGTAAATACAATAAGTCCAATATTAATCATTTTCAATTTAATAGTGTTCTATCACAATGTGCACGCACTTACCATTCTTGGCATAGTTTCGTTGCCCTTACGAAGTCATTACTCGGCTTTCCAGATTTTATTCTAAGAATTGGCGGCAAGGGGTCAGTCTTTTACCATTATAAACAATTTAGAAGTAAATAGAAATGAAAAAACATCCGAGGTTAGGAAGGCCAGGAATCGTGATGTCATCTTTTACCCGACTTTGGAAACCTTGTTGCATTTAAGAGGTTTTTATATTTTTTTGAACTTCTCACCAGATATGGTGCGACGTGATTGTGAATGTTTATTTACAAATCGAAACACGAGGAGACATCTAGCTGAAGGAAATAAGTCTGATGTTGTATTTGTGGGGATGTTCATGAGTGATTGTGCGCTGGTGTACCTATGCTGCTGCTAATTTTGATGCGCCTATTATTGGAATAACTTTTTATTATCTACTGCCGACCACGTACTCGACGCTGGGGATACCCTTCGAAATAGCATCAGATTCATTCTTCTTTACCAAAGGAGGACCGATCCATTTTGAAGCAGTGGTAATGGTAAATTATGTTACAATCTCCTGGATCCACACACAAAGCATTTCTAAAGCGAGCGTCAACATTATTCTATGACAGGAGCGCGTCTGCTGGAACTGCAGCTATTGGAGATAAGCGGACTTCACATTTCAAAACCAAAACCAGTGCCACAGGTAAATATTGAAATATTGCTGAGATAAACATTATAATTAACTAAGATTATGTCTTAATACATGCAGTCGGGTAAAAAAGGAGGTAGAGGACTTGCAAGATACGAAAACAATATTTTTAGTTTACGTTTGGAATGCTAGATACTGAATTAATTATACGAAATTTATTAAAAAACATGTTTCCAGGATGTAGAAGATTTTCTTTCGAAGGCTGAACACGGCACCATCTACGTAATCTTGGGCTCAAATCTGAACAGCAGTCTAATGTCACCGCGTAGGCTACAGAATTTTCTGGTAACCTTTAAGAAAATTCCCCAGCTAGTCTCATTTAAATGGGAAAATAATTCGTTCCCGGAAGGACACGATAACGTTCTCACGAGGAAATGGTTTTTGCAGCTGGATGTTTTGTGTAAGGCCGTATACAGAAAGAAAGCCGAAAGCCGACCAGCGCTTATCGGCACCGATAAGTGCCGACAAGCACTGGTCAGCGCTGGCACTACTACCATTTTAAATTAATTATAATTAAATTAATGATAACGATACGGAACCCTTCGTGCGCGAGTCCGAATAGCACTTGATCCCGATTTTTTTATTATGGTCTATGTTGTCCGAATAGATTAAATTAATCTAAGTTATAATCTTTTTATTAATGTAATAACTTTATCGTTTATTAACTAAGCGCTATAATTATTTGTTTCGTACTTACCGAATGGTGACAACAAGTCTTTCTTCTGGAAGGATTGGTTGTTTATTCCAATTACACCAATTGTTCATCAAACGGTTTTTCACTAAATCAAAAATGTAATAATGTTTCTTGTGTGAAGTGTATTATTATGATCATAAACATAATGTTCATTATGCTAGCTAAAATGTTAGCTTGCTACCTCATTAATTTATTTATTAATTTTGTTTCAGGTCATCCCAAACTTATAGGATTCATGTCCCACGGCGGAATGTTGAGCTCCACTGAAGCAGTTTACTGCGGCAAGCCAATGGTTATCATGCTTGTCTTCGGAGAACAGTTCGATAACTCAGGATCACTCGCAGCCACCGACTTCGCTATAACTCTGTACTCTAAAACTCTGTCACCGCAGTTAGTACTTTTATAAGTTAATTTAATGTACTTTCAACATTCTTAAGGCCGTAATCACAGATGTTAATTGAATTTTAAGTTCAAAGTGAAGGCTGATACGTTCTTTGCGCTACCAATAGAAAAGATCACGCGTCACTTTATTTGACGCGGAGCCGTAAGCCAGAGTTGTATTTATGATAGGGCAGGTAATTACTAGGCCATAATAAGGCGCGTGCGCCCTTCGCAGCCTGCCACTCCGTTTTAAGGTACCTACGGGCAAGGGCGTAGCCAGGATTTAGTTTAGGGGGGGGGCAGGCAAGTGAAACTAATTTGTTCGCTACAAAAATTACATTTTCTTGTACTATCTTTCGCTGGACACTTAACATACACAGGCCATTTATGTGTCCTATGTATGGTAAGAGATCAAGATCGAGCATCGTCGACCTCAACCACGTCTTGACTACACCGCAGTGTAGAGAAGTACCTCGTGATGCAAGACAGTGAGAAAAGAAATTAGTATAGGTTTTCTGGTTGGAGGAAAGAATGTTTCCGCCTTCTCTAACAACTCCGCAAAGTTCAGCTCTCTTAGGTGTTCTCTTGGCATATCTTTCCATCGTTTATATCTCAGTTCGTCGTTATTATCAAAGGATTCTAACCCATAGTAACTTTGTGTTTTCTGTTTGAATTCAGCCAATGAAATTTTCAATATCGCATCAGGATGCAACATTATCAATTCGAAGGCAGGCATATACCTACTGGAACATCGTTTCTTTGATTAACATATGTTTATCAAAGAAACGATGTTCCAGTGCGGATATAAGGGAATCCAAATACGGGATGAAGATCGATCGCTCCCAAAAATCGCATGGAGTCTCAGCAGGATGATTGGACTGGTGTCGTTGGCGAAATGTAATGCGCGGGATATGTAAATCGGTTCCAATGACAGCTGCAGTTTCCGTAGAAGTGTCGAAGACATTGGAATTCCTGGTCCGCGTTACTGAGATGCTTCTTTCATATATACATATCTATTGTCTTTGATTATAGGGCATTGGCAACAAGTTCCAATATTCCTGAGTATTTTCCTATCAAACCAGCAGATACTCGTATAATAAATTGTTACTTGGTAGCAACACAATATAAGTGGTAAGCGTTTTTTCTCGCTGCAGCATTACCTTCTCTAGAAATTGCCAAAAGCCCATTGAGAATGCCCTCAAAATGATCGTGAAAAATATCAATACTTATGTTTTTTTGTGACCAGCGTGTCTCACAAAGAGCTGGAATATTTGGCACGTACTTTCTCCGTAGAGAAGATTCTCGACAAAGTTGATGACATCTTTTATTTCGCTAATCGTGTCTCTTATTTCTGGAACATTATTAAAATCATTAACCGCCAAGTTTATTTTGTAACTTGTACAAAGAAAATACAATGCTTATTTACCCAAAAAGGATTAACCACAAATAAAAAACAAATTAACTTAATAAAGGAAGGCTCAACTGTTAACTCGAAAAGCAAGCCTTTTTCAATCCTAGATACTGAACCTGACTAGACTATTTTAAAAGATACGTATGAAAATCACTACAATGTACCAGATGATGTTGGTGTTTCGTCACCCAGGCCGGACGTATTCCCCTTTTTTAGGCACATCAAACATAGTATACAAGTAAAGTACTAATAGAGCTATTGTTAAGAATTTCGTCTCATATACAATTAATGAGAATAGATGTCATTTTATGATCTTTTTAGGACAACTAATGAAACTTCATTAAAGTTTATGCCGGGTTTATAAGAAATAATGAGAATGAATTTTATTTTATTGGGAAATCTGACAACTTATAAAACAAAATGATAAATATGAAATGATTTAACTAGAACAATCCAAGCCATTTTAATGATTTCACCAATCGCATATAAAAGCATTAGGTAGCTAGCTTATGCTAGCTAGTAAAAAACTAATTTTCGAATAACTTATTTTTATGATGCTTCTATACCTGTGTTCTAAACGGGCCATAGTTGCTCGGCAATTTGTGGCTACGCTACGACACATGGCCCGGCAAAATTATATTTTTAAGAATACCTTAATACTTGTTAGTTGTACACACAGTAACATTATACAGACTGCATACTTTAAAAAAATCCTTATATCCATCATTTTACGTCCAAGAAATGCTTAACGTAGGTAAGTACGAAATCACTTCACTGTTTACGAGTAGTCCTATCGAAATTAGAGCTTTAGTAACCAGACTAATGAGAGTGATGTGCGATTCTTATTTTTTTTTAAATTTTATAG